TTCATATCATTTCAGTGTTTCACAAATAAAACTGAAGACATTTAAATACGTTGCCTGAGTCTTCTGTGTTAGGCTTCTCTCAAACTATAGAATTTGTAGAACAAAAATACAAAATGCCAAATATCAAAGTCAAGATGTCTGACCTAAAAATGTCATCAGTAACAAAACTTGGTGCTTGATAAACTGTCACTTTCTGCAGAAACTGGAATAAGCTATAAGTACTAATGCCTATGATTACTGCACACTTAGAGCAGACATTAAATATTTCACCCTTACTGTGTGGAAAACACAATCTGTCATTTTTGACTGTAATTTAGAAATGAGAAAGACACCATTTGGTTCACATGCAGTTTTGACAAAAATTGTTAATAAGGGTATTCGTTGGTTTCATTACGCTTAAAATTCCTCTATCTTTTATTGCTGCATTATCCAAACATTTCAGAGTGAGCAAAAATTACCCAGATATGGTATTTGCAGGTGACTTTTTCCCCAATTTTATAAATAAAATTGTAGTAATTTTTTTGTTTGTTTTGTTTTCTTCCTCTAAACAATACATTGAATGTGTAAATTTTTAAAGAAACTCATAAGATATTTGTTTTTGTAAAAATGTTTCTCCATCCATCCATGTTCATCCACTTATCCGGAGCTGGGTCGTGGGGCCCAGAATTCCCTCTCCCCATCAACTTGGGCCAGCTCCTCCGAGGGAATCCCAAGGCGTTCCCTGGCCAAGTGAGAGACATAGTCCCTCCACCGTGTCCTAGGTCTATCTTTAGGCCTCCTCCCGTTTGGACGTGCCCGGAAAACCTCACCAGGGAGGCGTCCAGGAGGCATCCTGACCAGATGCCCGAGCCACCTCAACTGGCTCCTCTCGATGTGGAGGAGCAGCGGGTCTACTCTGAGCCCCACCCGGATGACCGAGCTTCTCACCCTATCTCAAAGGGAGAGCCCAGCCACTCTTCGGAGAAAACATTTTGGCCGCTTTTATCCCCGATCTCGTTCTTTCGGTCACTACCCAAAGCTCATGACCATAGGTTAGGGTAGGAACGTAGATCGACCTGTAAATCGAAAGCTTCGCCTTCTGACTAAGCTCTCTCTTCACCACGACAGACCTCTACAACGCCTGCATCACAGCAGATGCAGCACCAATCCGCCTATTGATCTCATGCTCCAGTTTTCCCTCACTCATGAACAAGACCCCGATACTTAAACTCCTCCACTTGGGGGAGGACCTCATCCCTGACCCGGAGAAGGCATTCTACCCTTTTCCGAATCAAGACCATGGTCTTATACTCTCCTACCAGCTGCTTCACACTCGGCTGTGAACCGCTCCAGCGAAAGCTGACGATCATGTTCTGATGAAGCCAACAGGACCACATCATCTGCAAAAAGCAGAGACCTGATCCTTGGGCCACCAAAACGGATGCCCTCCACACCTTGGCTGCACCTAGAAATCCTGCCCATAAAGCTTATGAACAGAATCGGTGACAAAGGGCAGCCTTGGCGGAGTCCAACTCTCACTGGGAACGAGCCCGACTTACTGCCGGCAACCAAGCGCTGACACCGGTCATGCAGGGACCTAACAGCCTGTATCAGAGGGCCTGGTACCCCATACTACTGGAGTACCCCCCACAGGGCCCCCCGAAGGACACGGTCAAACTCCTTCTCCAAATCCACAAAACACATCTAGACTGGTTGGGCAAATTCCTACACACCCTCCAGGATCCCCCTAAGGGTATAGTTTTGGTACAGTGTTCCATGGCCAGGACGAAAACCACATTGCTCCTCCTGAATCTGAGGTTCAACAATCCATCGGTCCCTCCTCTCCAGAACCCCTGAATAGACCTTACCAGGAAGGCTCAGGAGTGTGATCCCCCTGCAGTTGGAACACACCCTGCGGTCCCCCTTTTTAAATAAGGGGACCACCACCTCGGTCTGCCAGTCCAGTGGGACTGCCCCCGATGTCCACGCGATATTGCAGAGCCACTCAGCCAACACAGCCCCCAAACATCCAGAGCCTTAAGGAACTCCAGGCGGATCTCATCAACCCCTGGAGCCTTACCACAGAGGAGCTTTTTAACCACCTCAGTGACCTCAGCAGCAGGGATTTGAGAGGCAAATTCAAAGTCCCCAGACTCTGCTTCCTCACTGGAAGACGTGTCGGTGGGATTGAGGAGGTCTTTGAAGTATTCTGCCCACCCATCCACAACGTCCCGAGTAGAGGTCAGCAGCACACCGTCCCCACTATAAATAGTGTTGGTAGCACACTACTTTCCACCCCTGAGGTGCCGGATGGTGGGCCAGAATCTCCTCGAAGCCGTACGTAAGTCTTGCTCCATGGTCTCACCAAACTCCTCCCATGCCCGGGTTTTATCCTTAGCGACCACCCGAGCCACGTTCCGCTTGGACTGCCGGTACCCGTCAGCTGCCTCTGGAGTCCCACAGGCCAAAAATACCTGATAGGACTCTTTCTTCGGCTTGACAGCATCCCTAACTGCCGGTGTCTACCAGTGGGTTTGGGAGTTGCCACCATACGACAGGCACCGACGATCCTGCGACCACAACTCCGGTCAGCCGCCTCAACAATGGAGGCATGGAACAGGGACCATTCAGACTCAATGTCCCCTGCCTCCCCCGGAAATTTTGAAAGTTCTGTCGGAGGTGGGAATTGAAGCTCCTTCTGACAGGAGACTCTGCCAGATGTTCCCAGCAGACCCTCGCAATAAAAATGTTTCTGTAATTCCCAAATGTCTGTTTAAAGGTGTGGAACACTGATTTCTGATTATAACGGGTCACTCTGAGTTTTTCATGCAGGCTGAATATGAAAATAGTCTCCTACACCTATCTGCTACATTAGCTTCTGAAAGAAAACAGGCGCTCAAACTCTAGGATTTGAAAAACCTGACAGATCTACGTCACACCATCACAACATTCATAGATTCACCCATCTTTACTCAGGATGGGGGAAGTTGTTTTTGCTTTAGTGTCCAGGAGACAGCAGAGAACAACTTGGATAGTGGAAGCTAACCATTAGCATTAGCAACTCTACCACACAGCAGAACTCCTCTGGACTTGTGAAATGTTTGGCAATAAAACATCAACATTGCAGAGCAAACCAAGTCAGTGGTTGAGTTGTGTTGCTGTTAGATGTCCAAATATCAAGAAATAAGACTCCAAATCCTGCTGTCTGAAGCTCAGCTGTGATGTGGCAATTTTGTTGCTCCTGGAAATGGTGCACCAATGTTTTGCCCCCTGAATATGACTTAAAAGGCATTCATTCCTGCTAGAAACCACAGCAAATGTATTGATTAAAACAGTGTCCCATGTGCACTGGGCAGGATAATCATGTTGATTTTTGACCAACTCATCCCCTCTCTATAATCTTAAAGTTGTGCATGATTACTGTAATGACTCTAAAGATTATCTTATCAGATAATCCTATCTTGTGTGGTGTGCTCTGGTATGCTCAGACGTATGTCAGGACCACTGCAATCACAAATCCAGTCTCAAACACATCAAATTATCTTGGTCTGATTTTCGGGGACAAACGAGTGCTGCCTATTGAATGTGACATTTTGAAATCCAGGTGAGGGTAGCGTGCTGCATGCTCCTCCACCATTTTGTTTACTTTAAAGTCACTTTTGATTTGAATGATTACAGAAAATGTCCATGTGTGGTTAGAGGAGTGGACAATTCTTGTCCTCAAGGGCCGCTATCCAGCAGGTTTTAGTACTTTCTCTGCTTAAACACACCTGGCTTAAATCTACTGGTGAACTGCTGAGCAGGTGATTCATCTAAGAATCTGGTGTGTTGGTGCAGGAAAACAACTAAAACATGCTGGATAGCTGGCCTCGAGGACCAGGATTGCACACCCCTGTGTTAATGTGTGATGTATAGGTATTGCAGAGTTACTGCACATCACACTGGTTTGGGTTTTTTTCTCACCACGTGTGGTCTCATGCTTTCAAAATCAATGGATGCTATAAAAATCCTGCAGAGTGAAACAGGTCTTAGTTATGGAACTTGCTGCCACTACAGGTCAGATAAGCTTGCTCCCTGTCCAGGTTAAAATCTCTTAAAAACACGTTTAATTCAGTGTGAGAGTTCTTAATGATATATTACAGCAATATAATGTATTGCTAAATTTGCATTTAAGGGGCAGGGGGGGGGGGTCGTCAATTTTGCAACTGCTGTTTTTACTTGGAAATAAAGACAAACATTTTTCATCATGAGAGAAGGGGGAGAATGTTTTGCACTCCATTCTGTATGCACCTAGCAACGGTGTGAACTTGGCTTTCTAAGCAGAATCCCGTTTATGTTAAAGAAATACCAAGTGTGTGAAGAAAACCACTGATCTTTGATTAATGCTTAAGTGAAAGAAAAATGTGTACTAAGCTCCAGAGAATTTATATCAGGTTTTAAGAAACAAAGGGCATCCCACTCTAATTAGCAGATAGAAGTGGTCTATGATGTGTTTTACTTGAGAAAAAATGTCAAGAATAAAAAGCAAACAGAAAAGCACACATGCCAGAACCTTTTTGGTGATTGGAATTAGCTCTAAATCTAAAAAATATCTCCCTTTTACCCCATTTTGGTCCATAAACCCACCTTTGTGAAGTAGAAATCCAACTTTTTTCTCTGGTCTTCAAACACCATCAGTATTGTCCTACCACAACAAATATACCAGCAGGCTTTTCTTGTAGCAAATGTATAGAAATGATAATCTGTTTGTTCATTTCTTTATGAACTGGATCAGGCTATTATCCCTTAAACACAAATCTGTGCATATTAGCAAAAACAATAAAACATTTTACTTTGGCATGAACTGATAGAGTGGACAACAAACGTGGATTTGCATTTGAATTCTATTCAACGTTTTCCTTTAAAAGACAGGCGCACATGTAATTATGATCTGACTTACATGACGTCACAAGGTGTATTAAATATTTATACCTGGTAGAGAAAGGGCATCAATAACTTCACAAGTTCATCATGAGAGGAAGAGGCGGGATGAGCAGCACTGAAATCCCGCCGGAGGCGAGAAGAAGGACCAGCGCTGCTGAGACTTCCAGGCGCTCCGAGACGCGCCGGACCTTTCTCCCGCACGCCACGCAGAACAAAGACGCGGAGGATATCCGTGAACGTCAATAGCATCTCTAATGACTGCGCGTTTCGAGGCAGCATTATCAGGAATCAAGTCAGAGAAGTCACCTCAGAACTTATTTAAAGGAGGGGCTGGTCCAATCCTCTCAGCTGTAATTCAAGTTATCTCTCAGTTCGACCTGCGCGCGGTCGGATCCTCTGAGGAAGCTCCGTCTCACTTTGGAATCTTTACGATTCTCATCAGGCATCGACCGCCGACCGACAGGGGAGGAAGACTCCAATGGAACACCATGCAGCACTTTGAACCCATGGAGACATGGCACATCTGCTCCTCACATCTGCAAACAGAGTCAGCGCCAGATTCGCCTTCATATTCACCTTGTCTCTGTCCTGCACCTACTTATGCTATAATATCCTTTTTTATGGCGGCACGGTCATGACGAATCGGGGTTACGAGGGGAAACGTTGTCCGTCGAGCAAAAATGCTGGAGGGAAGAAACTTCTTGGAAAATTGGGCCACTGCGCCTCGCAGGATGTCGGGTCTGCAGCGCAGCGAGGATCCGGTGATCTCCGGGACCAAAGTAAACCCCCAGACTCACCTGGCACGCACTGGACGGACGGGAACCTGAAAAACATGACTGTTGCGCAGAAATACGGGAACAAGAAGCTGCCAAATGCGTTAATAGTCGGTGTGAAGAAGGGAGGAACCAGAGCGGTGCTGGAGTTCATCCGGATACATCCAGATGTGCGCGCGCTCGGGACAGAGCCGCACTTTTTTGACAGGAACTATGACAGAGGGCTGGATTGGTACAGGTGAGGAAAAGGGTCGGGGGACACGTTTGTGTCTTTCTGAGCACATTTCATCCTTATTTGCATAAAATGGCCACAAGCTTGAGAGAAATACATCACTAATGCTCTATTAACGTGATTTCTGTCCAACACAGAAGCAAGTTTACAGCCATTTTAGGATGATTAATTTTGTTTGTATCTGCGGATGTATCTGCAAAAACAATCAGGCTGTGTTTGATGTCCCCACTGGGATCATCACTTTTGTTTAATTCTCTGTTTTATCTCTCAAAGCTCAGCAGAGCTTCATGGTGCTGAAGAGAACAGCGGGCTGAGACACACACACACACACACACACACACACACACACACACACACACACACACACACACTCTCACACACACACACACACACACACACACACTTGACACAAGCAGCCTTCAGGTTTTGAAACAGTTCTTTGGTCCTGAAATAAAAGAGGTTACAGCCTTTCATCAGCAGGAGTTTCATGTTTATTTTTCATGATTTATTTCTTATTTTTGCTCTGATTTATATGGAACATCCATGCTTTCGTTCTTTTTTAAACACAGAAACAGTTTTGTTTACCTGTTTGTAGCTACAGTTTCGCCGACGGCTGCCGGCTTCTTCAGGCTGACGCTGATGGTGGCGCGTCACTTCCTTCTCCGTTTATCTGCGGGCAGCAGAGGACGTTGTCGCCCTCTGCTGCCCGCTTTCCCCTCTCCGACGATGCAGACAATAGAACACAGAAAGGAGTGCGAGAAAGAGGCAAATCGTAAACACACAAGAGCAGCAAAAGAAAAAGCAGAAAGTACAATAAAAAAAGTCAGCCGTAACAGATCATTGCTTAAGAGAAAACCATATAATGGACTGGGACAGCACACGGATCATAACCACCGAACAACAAAAATACAAAAGATGGATCAAGGAAGCAATCGGGATAAGGAGACGTGGATGTGGGACCATGAACAGGGACGACGGAGTTTACACGCTGGACCACGCATGGGACTGCATCATCGGAGAGGGGAGAGCGGGCAGCAGAGGGCGACAACGTCCTCTGCTGCCCGCAGATAAACGGAGAAGGAAGTGACGCACCACCATCAGCGTCAGCCTGAAGAAGCCGGCAGCTGTCGGCGAAACTGTAGCTACAAACAGGTAAACAAAACTGTTTCTGTGTTTAAAAAAGAACGAAAGCATGGATTTAGAAAGACACAGCAAGAACACACCTAAGAAGTTATATGGAACATATCATTCAGTCCATTGTATGCTTCTTCCAAACTGAAAATTAAGAAATGATGGAGTACAAGGTTGAACCAAGACCAAAATTGTTCTTATTATGAAGTCTTGAACATGTTAAGATAAGTTTCCTTTTTATATCTCATGAGTCAACCAAGACAGCTAAGTTCATGATTGAAATTGTGATGCTGCTGTTCTAAAGGAAGGTCCGTGTATGCAGATCAGTGTCCCACTCTCAGGTGCTGATTCTAAAATGTTCAGAAAGAGCAGATCTCCAGAAAGATACTGTGTTCTCGCCTTTGGAGAAAGTAGTGCATCAGACTATGATGGTTTAAAAAATAGGTTTATGCAAACATCTAAAATATTCTTCAAGATGCCAGATTTTTCATTGATTACCAAACACTCACAATTTTCATCTAAAAATGTATTGCATCAATTTCCTGATAGTTTTTATTTTGTATTTGTAAGTAGCAACCGTCACTGACGTCACTAGAATTAAGAGTTGGGGGGGGGGGGGGGGGGGGCTCAGCCCCAGGAGCTTGACCTTGAAAATTTTTGTCACACCCTGAAAAAAAACTTAGTCAATTAATTAATTATTTGAAGAACATTTAACAAAACCTGTTATTTTATCACTTTCTTTTCCATTCCTACCTTTGTGCATTTTCTTTCTTCTTTTTTTTATCAAAAAATAACACTTAATCAGTTCATTAGTGGGGTCTATGTTGAAGAAAGATTTTATATAGGTCCATAAAAAATTAGATATGTTATATTTCCAAATAAAGCTATTCATTTCAGTCTACTGCACTTAACAGGGGGAAATGTTGTGGTCATTCATTTAATTTGTTTAATTACAACTTGCTTAGTTGTAAATGCTACTGAAATATGACAGTTAAGAACAAATTAATAAATACCAAACTTTTATTCTGCCAAATGAGTGTACAATTGACAATTTTAATAAATGAATAACACTGCTATGATATGGAATAAAGGTGTCCTTGAATTAACAACTGCAAGACAAAATAACAGTATATAAAAAATATCCATAAAGTAGTAGAACTAGAGCAGTAGAATGTAATTGAATAAAGTTCAAAATACCCACCAAACAATCATTAAACAAGCAGGATTAAAAATGAAAGGAAACAAGACCGGTATTGGCTTTGAAATGACCTAAGTGGATGACTATATAGTCTGATCCTGAAAGTGGTTTCATGACCACAAAAGAAACATTGATATAATATGGAACGGAAGACATGTCTTTGAATCAACGAATAAAAGACAAAATAACAGCATATAAACACCATAGTGCAAGTGGTAGAACTTAAAAGACATCACTGTTACAATTCCCATTACTGTTGTGACTTAAACCAGTATGCGTAACGGCTTCACATAAACTTTCTGTCTACTTTGAGGGTGGAAGCATCAAAGAATGCCTTCTGTTTTTCATAGTGGCAAAGCGGTCTATCACGTTGTTGTCACTCAACTGACCTACAAGGTCATTTTCAATCAACATGACTGCAAGGTTATGAAGCCTTCTCTGCCCCATTGTTTGACGCAGCCAGGTGTGCAGCCGACGCAGTGCACTGAATGACCTTTCGCAAGAGCAGCTATTTACAGGCACAGTCAGAGCAACTTGAAGGACTTCTTTAAGAGAGGGAAACATGTCTGAGTTTAGGAGGTTGTGCACAGTTAACATATCTTGGGGTGGATGTCCAGCATCTGCTTTGACGAAAGAAAGTTTCTGGCAACAAGAGCTTCCTCTATTGTCAGGTTAATGCTATAGTGCCTAGCAAGTTCTGCTCATGCACTCATTACTGTACACTCAAGTGATGGTGGCACTAAATAACTCAATGAACTGGCTGGTTCGATAATCATGTCACTGAAGCCCCCCTAAAACGGACCTATCGACGTCAGCGGGAAGTAGATAGATGTATTTTTTCCAGGCGCACTACTCAGAGGAACTCGGACTGATGCAGCTCGGCCCGACCACTGTTCCCAAGGACACGGTTCGGTATTTTCTCTCTATTTTCTCCCTTATTTTAGGTCCTTTTCCGTTTAGGTACCTGGCCAGGCTGAGTCAGGCCAGCATTGTGATTCTGGCTGCCTGATTGGATAGGGGGCGGAGTCACTGGTTTCTCTAGAGCAGGGTTTCTCAACCCTGGTCCTCAGCACTCCACTGTCCTGCATGTTTTCAGTGCCTCTGCATCAAGCACACCTGATTTACATAATTGAATAGCCTTCTCAGGAGGACATCAAGTGCTGCAGAAGTCTGTTGATCAGTCATTACTTTGGGTCAGATGGGCTGACTCAAACCACAAGGTACAGAGCTGTTTTAGGCTGAGTGGTGCTTCTGGAAAAACACTTTTTTTTCGTCGTCGTCTTCGTCTTCCTCCGCTTTTCCGGGTCCGGGTTGCGGGGGCAGCATCCCAACTAGGGAACTCCAGGCCGTCCTCTCCCCGGCCACCTCCACCAGCTCCTCCGGCAGGACCCCAAGGCGTTCCCGGATCAGATTGGAGATGTAACCTCTCCAACGTGTCCTGGGTCGGCCCGGGGGCCTCCTGCCGGTAGGACATGCCTGAAACACCTCCCAGGGAGGCGTCCAGGAGGCATCCTGACCAGATGCCCAAACCACCTCAACTGACTCGTTTCGATTCGGAGGAGCAGCGGTTCTACTCCGAGTCCCTCCCGAATGTCCGAGCTCCTCACCCTATCTCTAAGGCTTAGCCCGGCCACCCTACGGAGGAAACTCATTTTGGCCGCTTGTATCCGCATTCTCGTTCTTTCGGTCATTACCCAAAGCTCATGACCATAGGAGAGGATTGGGACATAGATGGACCGGTAAATTGAGAGCCTGGCTTTCTGGCTCAGCTCCCTGTTCACCACGACAGATTGGCTCAAGGTCCGAAACACTGCAGACGCCGAACCAATCAACCTGTCGATCTCCCGATCCCTCCTACCCTCAATCGTGAACAAGACCCCGAGTTACTTAAACTCCTCCACTTGAGGTAGGACCGCTCTCCCGACCCGGAGTTGGCAAGCCACCCTTTTTCTGTCGAGAACCATGGTCTCAGATTTGGAAGTGCTGATCCTTCTCCCAGCCGCTTCACACTCGGCCGTGAACCTACCCAGCAATAGCTGAAGGTCAGAGCTGGATGAAGCTAGGAGGACCACATCATCCACAAAAAGCAGAGACGAGATTCTCCTGCCACCAAACTCGACACACTCCACACCACGGCTGTGCCTAGAAATTCTGTCCAGAAAGGTAATGTTCAGAACTGGTGACAAAGGGCAGCCCTGGCGGAGTCCAGCCCTTACCGGGAACAGGTCCGACTTACGAGGACCACTCACGCTCCTCTGGTAAGGGGACTGAATGGACCTGAACAAAAGGCCACCCACCCCATACTCCTGGAGCGTCCCCACAGGGTGCCCCTGGGGACACGGTCATAAGCCTTCTCCAAATCCACAAAACACATGTGGATTGGTTGGGCAAACTCCCATGCCCCCTCCATCACCCTTGCAAGGGTATAGAGCTGGTCTACAGTTCCACGGCCAGGACGAAAACCACATTGCTCCTCCTCAATCTGAGATTCAACTATCGATCGGACCCTCCTCTCCAGTACCTTCGAGTAGACCTTTCCAGGGAGGCTGAGGAGTGTGATCCCCCTATAGTTGGAACACACCCTCAGGTCACCCTTCTTAAAGATGGGGACCACCACTCCGGTCTGCCACTCCACAGGAACTACCCCTGATGGCCACGCAATGTTGTAGAGACGTGT